TTTATCTTCTCTTGCATGATCTATTTGCCTGTCCTCTAATCAACACCACACTGTCTTAATTACTTAAGCTTTTTAGTAAGACTTGACACCTGGAAGTGTTAAGACCTCCTTTTAGATTTTCTCAGCCCTGTGTCATTTTTCATGTAACTCTATTCACATATATACACTTTCCATTCCTTTTCATTCCTTCCTGCATTTCTGTTCTGTTTATGATCATTATCTTTCTGCCTGAAGAACTACTGTTAGTCTTTCTTTTACTGTGGGTTTGCTGAAGACAAATTCTCCTCATTTCTGGTTGTCTGGAGTTTTCTATATTTCACCTTTAATTTTGAGGGATTTATTAAGTAGGCATAAAGTCTGAACTGAGATTATTTAGCTTAAAAGGAGGAGAATGCCACATGGGGGAAGGGTAAGCACGTCCCTGTCTTCAGCCCTTCGAGGGGCTGTTGTGCATGAGCGGGAGCAGACATGCCTATTTTGGGTCCATGGGAAGATGTGGCATACTGAATACAGGCTGCAGAAGAGCGGTCTCATTGACATCGGGCATTCCTTAAGTGGAAGGCTTTGCCTGAAAAGATAGTGAGTTTCCCAACACTGGAGAGTCTAAGAAGGGGCTCAACAAATACCTGGAAGTGGCTATTGAGAAGATCCAATAATAATATTGTAGGAGGGACTTAATCAGTGGTTGCTAATTTGTGCATGCTTAGAATCTGAGATATTTTTAAATACAGATGTCTACGTTAACTCACTCACTGACATACCAAAACAAAATGTAGGTCCCCAGCATCTGCATTTTTAACCAGCTCCCAAGTGTTCTACAATCTGGAATATAGGAAGAGACTAAAGATCCCCTAGTGTGCCTTCCAAATGATACTCTGTGATTCGATCATCTCACAGGGACTCCAGAGAGAAATTCTGCCACTTTTGCCTCTGTGAGGGGGAAGTTGGAGAAATAGAAGAGGATATGCCCTTCTCCTCGTCCTTTCTTCTGTCCGTGAGGCTCCCCTCTCCCAGACAGCAGGACTCAGCTTGGTTCTGTCGGAATGACAGACCCAGAAAGTTTAGTCACACTGTGGGTTAGCAAGCTTGTGTGGGCTAGCCTGGTAACCTAACCACTATTTATAACATAGTTTCTGTGGGAAAATATGTTCTGAGTTGCAACAACTGCCTTTCAAAAATATGCTGGAGCAAAACCTGTCAGTAATTGGAACTATATATAAAGTTATCTTCTCAGAAACTTTTCACATCTCACAATAAACTTGACCTCAGAGCATGAGTAATTAATCAGCACTCAGTGTCGGCTTCACAGAGGAAGAGCTTCTTCTGCCCTGCTAGTAATTGGAGGCCTGCTTTGGGAAGAACTAGTACTTTTTCTCCAGCAATGTGAGAGTGTTTCTTCCTGCTGTCATTGTTTGCCCGAGGGAGACTGGTGCTGGCGTCACCCGGGAGCAGTGATGAATGGCCCGGGATATAACGTGGTGGCAGTGTCTTCTTCAACTCGAGGCTTGGAAGGACAGTGAGAATGAGGTCACCTTTCAGGGCTGAGCTACACCTGTGTCCCATTCCAAAGACTCTACCACAGAACTTGGTAAACAGCCATATTTCCAGTATTCTCATCCCTGGGAAGAAGTTTTATGAAATAGAAAAAAATATGGATTTACAAGTGGCACAAGTGAAAATTATAAATAGAGGCTGGTGTTGGCCCCAAGGCCAAATCAAATAAACAATATGCTCTTATTCCATTTACTGTCCCCACCAAAAAAAAAGAAAAGTTAAAAAATTGCACTTAGTTACCTTCTCATGAGACCACACTGGGAATATTCACCTCAGGTCTGGACCCCCTCCTTTAAGAGGATCATAGAAATCTTGAAAGATGCCCCAGTGCCATGCTCTAGTTGGGGAGCTGGTCCAGAAATGTCATCTGAATGTAACCATTTGGTTAAACAAATGGGATTCAAAGACGGACACCACCAACCCTCAGATGCCTGTGTGCAGCAGAGAAAGCTCATAGGAGCGAAATCCAAGAGGGGAGAAGAAGCCAAAGGGCCTCCGTCCTTTTGTGCTTAAAGCAATTAATCAGAGAAATACACTTCCAAGTAACTTTTTTTTTTTTTTAAAGATGACCGGTAAGGGGATCTTAACCCTTGACTTGGTGTTGTCAGCACCAGGCTCACCCAGTGAGCCAACCAGCCATCCCTACGTGGGATCTGAACCCGGGGCCTTGGTGTTATCAGCACCACACTCTCCCGAGTGAGCCACGGGCCGGCCCCCAAGTAACTTTTTAATACTTTAAAAATAGCCAACAGCTGAGTTCACAACCAGAAATAGACCCAAATTACATTTAAAAAGCAAAGAACATATAGCTATATAGTAAAACATGGAAAAATAACAAGGATACAAAACAAAAAAAGATGTGACCGTCACCATAGCAATATGGCATAAAGAGGAAGTTGACTTAAGTAAAAATTACTGGTCAGTATTTGAAAGGAGCGCTCTCTAATCATTAATTGGAGCAATGCAAATTAAAATTAAAAGAAGATATACATTTTTCTTAACTGAACAAACTGAAAATGATTTTAAAAACTAAAATACCTAATGTCAAGAATGCAGGAAAATGGGTACTTTCATACACAGTGGGATTTTTATATTTGGGGAGAATAATTTGGCCCTACAATGTGTGAACAGGTATGTTCCTGTGTTTTACAGACAGAGAAACTGAGGCCTAGGAAGGGCCTGTGCGGGTTTTGTTTAGGATTCTGCTGATAGCTCAGTGACCAAGACAGGGCACATCCCTGACCTCACGGAGCTTGATTGTGGGTGGGTGGGGAGCGGGGGGTGCACGGCAGACAGTAGCCCGTACACACATAAGTAGGGAAAGTGCAGGGTGACAAGTGCAGCAAAGATAACAACTGTGGACGGAGAACGCTGGGTGAGGGGTTTGTGGAACGGGTGAGTCAGGGAAGCCTTCCCTGAGAAGTGACAGGTGTTGACATTTGAATGTGAGAATATCATGCCAAGAGCGGTGGAAGGAGCTTTCTGGCAGAGGAAAGAGCGCGGGAGCCCCGGGGTGCGAGCAAGCGATGTCGTGAGGGACCCGCAGGTCTGGGAGAGCGCGGGTGTCATGCCTCCCCAGGAGTCAGGACAGCCAGGGGCAGTAGGGGAGGGTGGAGGGGAAGTCATTAACTGTGAGAAGGGGCTGGGGATGCTGGTCTCCTTCAAGAACTGTCAGATTGGAAGAGTTTCTGCCGTGTATTTTGAGTGATGAACGTAGTGATGAGCAGGAGATGATGTATTTCTTAGGGAAATTGTAAACAGGGAGAAAACCTGAGCCTTCCAAGAGGACCCTGAAACACAAAAGAAGGTGGGTTCATTGCTGGCACCCTGTTCACATCCAGTTAGGCAGAGGTCATCGCCTGCAGGTCTGGAGGCACAAGGCACTCACTCCACAGGAACCTGGGTGGTGACCCCACAAGAGATGCCGCTTCTTGGCCACGGTGGGCTCCAACCATGGACAGACCCAGCCTTTGATGGCCCAGCTCCTCCAACCTCCTAGAGTACTAGACTGGCCAAAACAACTGGTGGTTTTCAAAAAGCCATTATGACCTCAGAAGTCAAACAGGAAAGAAGTAGCAGAGATGGAATGGGAAGCTAGTCTGGCTACACACACACACCAGCTGTGTGACCTTGGGCAAGCCTCTGGACCGCTCTGAGCCTCAGGCTGTAGACAGACGGGGTGTATGTGACTGTGTCTAAGGGCCCTTCCCAGTATAAAATGACAATGCGTTCATGGTTTCTATGTGATTTGTCCCCAAGGAGTGTTCTTCCAAAGGCTAAGCCACAGGCTCTGATGACATTTCTGGCAGGGAAGTGATTTGAGAAAAGGCCCACAAAGGGGCTAAGGGTAATGGGTTCCCCTGGGGCAGCATTCATTTGGAAGTACAAGCTCCAGAGACTGGAGTAAAAAGGCAGTTTCATTACTTTGAGGCCACAATCAGAATGTTAATATCACCAATGAAATTCTTTTATGAAATTCAGCTCAATGGGAGAAAAAAATTCTTTTTTTTAATGCCAAGCTACTCACAGACACTGTTATATTATGAAAGGTGAAAGGAAAGAGTAGGAGGCATGGGTGTTGCCTTACACCTGAGCAACGGAGACCTGCCCCAGGCCCTGTGCTCTAGGAAGGCCTCACTCGGCCCCAAGGAGACAGCCCACCTGGAGCCTGCACCCCACCAACTTCTAGACCCTGCCCTGAATTCCTTGCACAATAGTCTGGAGCTGCTTCTAGACAGGAGAGCCTCTGGCCTCGGTCAGCCGCAGTTCATGAGGGTGGACTATGCCTCTGAGGTGGTCAAAGGGCTACTGATGCTGGAAGGGGAAGGAGGTGAGAACTGAGCCTGGCTGGGCTGTAGAATGGACCCACGGCGGGAGGGGGTGGGCTACAGAGCAAGGCCAGCTCCCCCCTGTGCTGCTGTGTCCAGCCTGAAGCTCTGAGGAGCCCCAGAATTCCAAGTTCAAACTTGGCCTTCCAGGACATTAGAAAGGTATATTTATTACAGTGAGGGAGGAATAGAAAATGTTTTATTACACAGTTTGTTCACTCATCTATAGCTTAGACATTTATACATATGGTATATGGGCCTCCATGAGTACTCCAGCCCCAGACCCTACAAATAGTAGGGGAGGACTGGTCAGGGTGCATTATCCCTCCCTTTAGCCTTACCAGCCAGACAGGGTTCAAATCTCAGCCCTCACTCACCAGCTGTGTGACCCTTGGCAAGCAGACCTCTCTGAATCAGTTTCACCATCTGTGAAATGGGGACAATAATAGTACCCACCTTGCAAGGTTGTAGGAGGATTAAGTGAGATAATGCACATAAAGAGCCTAGCACTGTGCCTGGCACACAGTGGGTGCTGGAGAGTATTGGCTGTTTTGGCATTATGTGCTGATGTGCCTGCCAGCTCTAACTTGGTATTCCCCGACCCTCTTGTTTTTCCAGACTCCCCAGCAGTATGAGAGAGAGTACAACAACAAGCGGTCAGGAGTGGGGCCCAGCAAGTTCCACGGGTACGCCTACGACGGCATCTGGGTCATCGCCAAGACGCTGCAGAGGGCCATGGAGACGCTGCATGCCAGCAGCCGGCACCAGCGGATCCAAGACTTCAACTACACGGACCACACGCTGGGCAGGATCATCCTCAATGCCATGAATGAAACCAACTTCTTTGGGGTCACGGTCAGTCCTATGCCTCCAGGCTCTGTTTGCGTTATTGCCCCTTGCAGGGGCTGTTACACGTCTTCTGATACGTGATCCTTTGTCTCGGGTCATTGAAGTCACTTCTTAAGGGCTGTGGGATTGCAGGGCTGTTGAGAGGAGGGGCGGGGCGGGGTGTGCTCTCTGAAACATCGGGGAAATGCTTCTCTATAAATCATGGATGAGAAAGGCTGTAGAGTCAACAGCACACAGGGCAGGTGCATTTTACCAGGAGGGGGGTTGGGTGGGCCAGCAGGAGCTCTGGACCCTAAGTCAGGTTCAAATCCAGGGCCTTCACTTACAAGTTACCTTCTTTGAACTACAGAGTTTTCATTCACAAAATGGGAATAATATCCACCTAACGAAGTTGTTATAAAGATCAACCTTTATGATGTAAAAAATTGCTAATAATTGTTGAGCGAGCTACTTGCTCTTAGCCTCAAGTTTTTCATCTGGGAAATAGGGATAATAATATATGTCTCGCATGGAAGTTGGGAAAATTAGCAATGATAAAGGCTAATGTTTCTTGAATGCTTACTATGTGCTAGATGCCGTGCTAAGTACTTGATGTAGATTCAATAATGCATGCCCAGTGCTAGGCACATAGTAGGCACTCAATAAATGGTAGCTATTGTTATTGTTCATAATGATCTCATTGCGTCCTTATGCCATCCATAGGAAATAGGTGTTGTTATTATCCTCATGAACGGGGAAGAGCCTGGCGCTTGGAGCGTTTAGGTACTCCAGCTAATCAGAGGTAGAGCTGAGATTTGAACCTGGGTCTAACTCTAAATTGCTGCATTTCATTACCTTCTGGTAATGGACGCATGTGCTAGTCATTTATGTGCTGTGTGTCACTGACTCTGCTCCCAGAAAATATGGGAAATTTATGTCAAATATAGGTTGAATGCACTGAAGTGCTGTCCCATGTTCTAATTTAGAGAGTCATTTATACAGTCAGTCCGACTTGGGGCATTAAGAGGAGTAAGTAGGTAAGATGAGTTGATTGGCACGTTTCTTAAGTGTTTGTACTCGTGCGTGCGTGTGCTTAGGCTTGCCTCATTGGTCTGGTGGGTCAAGGCCTGTGCAGGTGCCAAGGTGTGGACAATGTTGTGGATGCCAAGGTTAAAACAAGCTCCCTGTGCTAGAGCCCATGGCCCACACGTAGGGGAGAGACCTGGACAAAAATGACAATGAGAGGTTAACAGTGCTCAGAACCGTGGGAGAAACTATATGAGCCTGGAGAGATTGCTGGGACCTTTGGTGAAAGGGTCAGGGGAGGTTTTTTGGGAGAAGTTTTTTTGGCATTTGAGCTGTGCCTTGATGGGCAGGTAGGAGTTAGACATACAGAGAGGGGCTGGCATCTGGCCAGATGGAGAAAGGCATGGGTGGGGGGGGACGATCACTTGGGCAGAAATGTTGGGAAGGTGAACATGGGGCCAATTCTGGAGGGACAAGCTGAGGAGACTGGCCTTTATCTCAGACGCCAACCATTCTCAAAGGGTGGTCAGCATTAAATTCTCGGAGCCAGGCCCATTGAGTCAGAATCTCCCCGGGTGGGGAACCTAGCCATCTGTTTTAACAAACCCTCCAGGAGATTCTAATGCACGCTACAGTTTGAGAAGCACTGCTCTGGGTGTTGGGGAGGTACTGAAGTTTGCTAAAAAGAAGCAGATTTTTGAAATCCCTGAGTAGAGCTGCTCAGGACCTGAAATCTGTGGGCATCTACTCCCACAGTTCAGAAGTAAGCGCTCTATATAGTTTTTGGCAAAGTCAGTTTATGTAGCACAACCTAGATTCAGGCTGGAAACTAACAGCTTTCCTCAGACCAGGAGCTTAAAAAAATTTTTTTTTATCCTCATTACTCCCTGTTATAAAATCTCACATGGAGCCTGATATATAAAACAGATTAAAGAGGAGCTTCTCAGTTGAACAAAGAAGCCCAGAGCCCTGCCTGTTGTGTCTTCCCACAGCCGCATCCTCATCTCAGCCCGGCAGCCACTGAGACCCTCTCTCAGAGAGGCTGGACAGAGCACCAGCAAAAATACCTCCCAAGTTCTTTCTCCTCAGTGCACAAGTTCACAGACTGGGACTCAGAGAGGAGGGGGATTCTCCCGGGTTCCCGTGGGTAGCATTGAGGCAGGGCTGTTTCAAAATGTGGGTACACTTATTCAGGTCATCTTTTCACGCTTTGTTTCTTATTTAATAAAATAAATTCACAGTATCCAAAGTTGAAATGGAAGAATAGAGAGCTACAGAATCTAGGACGCATTTTGCCATCTCTCATAATCCTAGAATTCAGCATTTTGCAAGATGCCTGATATATCTTAGTTGGAGATCACTTATAACCACTTCTAAGTGCTCTCTTTCATCTAAGCCAAATAATACATAATTCCTACTTGATGGGCTTGCCATCTCTCATAATCCTAGAATTCAGCATTTTGCAAGATGCCTGATATATCTTAGTTGGACATCATTTATAACCACTTCTAAGTGCTCTCTTTCATCTAAGCCAAATAATACATAATTCCTACTTGATGGGCTATTAGAGAAGACTGCCTAAAATGCTTTCCAGGGTTCAAAGATGAGTTTCTTTTCAATGGGAAATTCCTTGACACATATTTATGCCTGCTCCGGTTTGTTACTCATAATTCAGGGAATTTCAGATGTGGAAGGGGTCTTAAAGATCCTCACAGTCAATGCCCTCATGTTGTGGCTGAGTATCTGAGGTCCAGAGAGGAAAAATGACTTTGAAAAGCCACACCACAAGTTGGCAGAGCCAGGATGGTAGCTGGAGTGGTCCTGCCTCCATGCCACTCCGCGCCATCTCTCTTCTCTTTGTGCGAGTGTCCCTGTAGTTGAGAAAGGTTGCAACAGGGAAACAGCTGTGCACAGTGTCTCACCTCCCTCCTCATCCCCTTTATCACATTGTAATATGTGCTTGTCACCGGGTTGTAGACAGGTTTCATTAAAATCGTCCTCTGATCACAGAAAAAAGAACGTCTTCCGACAAAATAAAAAGCGTCTTTGTAGTCCAAGGAGACCGCAGAAGGCCAAGTTCTGCTATAAATAAAGAGTTAGAAAGTAAGGGAACAGGAGAGGAGGAAATAAATTGAAGCGTTTTCCATTTGCTGAAGGGTTTTCATTATACAGCACACACGGTATCCATTTTTCCCCTCTCAGGCAGACACTTTATTCTGGGTCACTTCATTCAGCATGTTTACTATATGGAAAATCATTTAAACACATTAAATTAATTATACCTATGACTTGATTTCAATTGATTCAGTATGCTGGGAGCTGGGCCTGTGGTTCTTGGTTGGCATGTTGATGAAGAAATTTCTTCCATGTATCCCAGGTTGGGGATCTGGCTTCGCTTGGGGTTCAGCTCTATTTTATTTTTCTAGGAGCTCCCCTCCCAGCTACCTTTCTCAGGGAACACACTGAAATGGGATTTCGTGTCTGCACCTGCACACTGATGGCCTGGGAGTACTGTCCATCTCTGATTCCTTCAGTGCACAGTTCTGATGTTCAGCCCTGTGATTAACTCTCCATGCTCTGGAAATCTCAGGATGCTTCCCCACCTGGAACCTCCTCTTCTGCAAAATACGCAGCCAGGAAACTCAGGCTAGGATTGGCTATATAGATCTCAAAAGCCCAGAGGGTGCTGAGAATCCCCTTTACTGAAAGTGATAAGGGCTTGGAACCCAGCTCAGCAGAGTTCATCTTGGGCAATGATTCCTAAACTTCTGTATGCACGAGAATCTCCCAGGGAGCTGCTCTAAAACTTCGTATTCCCAGGCCCCATTCCAGAACATCAGATACAGTGGTCTCTTGGTAAAGCCCAAGAATTCATATATTAATAAGCAGGCTGCCTGATTCTCAAATAGCAACCTTGAGAAGTGCTTGGAGCGCCACACGTACACGCACTTTCTGGTCTGAAACCTTTCACCCGGGCTGGGTACCTGGTGTATAGAGAGGAATAATGTATGGTCCCTGCCCTCAAGAGCCCTCCATGCAATGGAAGAGAGATAGACGAATAGAAGAATAATTTCTGGGCAGTATCTACCCAAGGCCCCTGGAGTGAAGACTATGTTTTGCTTAGGGGACTAAACCAAGGAGCCATTGTCAATTTTCCTGCAGTTCAGTAAGCAGAACTCAATGTATCAATAATTGAAGGTACAGTCCTGTGGGCACTCATTTTGTGTCACATGCTGGGAGCGAGAATGCAATTCCAGGCCTCTCATCCCTGACACTCAACATGCCAGCACTCTGTGGCTCAACAGACTCCTCTAATTTGGTTTTCCTGACAAAGATTCACTAAATTCATGAACAGGAGACCATAACCTTTCAAAACATGCTTGGGAACATTTGCTAAGCATTCAGGTGAAAATCAAAGCCTTACTTTTCTTTGGGCGATCATTTTTTAATTCTTCCCTGTTTCCAGACTTTTAAAACGAGGGTGACCCCCCAGATCTTAAAGTGGACAAATCCTTTGAGTGTGTCCCACTGAGATATGACGGCTCTAACCAGCAATATAACCCCTCTGGTATATGTTTCTTTTGATGTGTTTTTTAAAAGGGCACCACATTTAGTTTGTGGTACTCACAACAGGCTAAATTATAGAATTTCCTTTTGCCCTATTATGAAAATGTAATACACGTAATGTTTTTCCCAGAGAGTTCCTCGGGGTATGTATACTGGGTTTGGGTGGAGGCTGGGAGGCTTCTAAGAGCATTTGGTTGTGAGAATAGGGCTCCAGTCTTGCTAAACTGTTTCCTGTGAGCACCCCTCATTCTCTGTGGGTAGACTCAACGTAGAAGCAATCACAGCCGGAAAGAAGGTGACCTGTAAGTTCCTCCAAATAATAGTATGTGCTTCATCCTCTGCCCAGCCTTTCTCAAGCAGCTGCAAGTCTGGACATCTCAGTGTAACATATCTGTCACCCTTAGGTTCAGGCTTTTCATCTCTGATGACTGTTA